CCCCAAAACCCCAAAACCCCAAAACCCCCTAAAATATTTATTTTAAGGAAATTAAGATTAGTAAGTATCATCATATTTTTATATAATCTATGTTTTACTTATTGGCTGTTTCAAAATTGTATTATTGCGATTGCTATTCTGATTTGAGTTGTTCTTGCTTGACATTAATCAGCTCCTTAATGATATCTATTTTGCTTTTAACGCTCGTTACTAGGTTCTAAATTCTAAAGTCAATTCTCTAATTTCTATCAGCATTTCTATCTCTTTTTCTTTGTTAGGGAATGATTTCAACTTGATAGAGTCTAGATTTGCAATAGGACTTCAAATTAACACCTCCAAAGAGTATAAATTTACCGTTGTCATCTAGCTTAGTAAAGCCATGAGACCATCTTGAAGTTGGAATCTGTCCATATATGGCTAACGCTGTCCATTCATTAGTCACCACATTAAACATACAAATGTCATTTAAAGCAACATTTTAAGTCTCAGCAAAAATTGAATCGTTTCTTCCGCCAAATATAACTAAGTAGTAGTAGTTAGTTGATGCCTCTCTAAAATACGATGCTTGATGCTATGATCTGGGGCAAGGCGGTTTACCTTTATAGTTCTCGATTTTCTTAGCATATAAAGTAAGGGTTGGTTTATCCAAATACTCAAACGAATTCTCTGCTAATATCTGTTAACACTCTTTATAGTATGGTTCAATAAACCATACATCATTCTTTAATTAACCCTTTTGATCTGATCCACCAAACAGGTAAACTCCTTCACTTAAGCAAGGTCCTTGTTCTCTTTCTTCGTCAGTATAAACTCTTCTTTATCTCCATAATGCTTTACCACCTTTGTTTTCAATACTATAATTTTCTCTCTCATAAATAGCAGTCATTGAATGCATCTATCTGAATCCAATAACTTAATCAGTTACTTGAGAGTATTAATAGTTTTTATCATCAATTCTCTCTTGATTGCAGTACACTCTTGTCATTATCCATCGATTCATGTCACAATCAAATAATGCGAAATCATTGAGAAGTTTTCTTTAGTCAGCAAAGAATCCACCATGAATCATCATGATGCTCCCAAAAATAGCTGATGCATGATTGTATCTCTTTTATGGTGATCCCTCTAAGTTAGCTTGATTCCATGTTTCTGAAACTGTATCAAAGATGTGTAAATCATTATAGCCCAACCTCATTTTAATCTAGTTGACATAAGTACCTGCTCCTCCAAAAACATATAGTTTCCTGTTAAATACTTCCATTGTTTAAGAGAATCTGTACTTTGGGGTTTCACTTGTATTATCGATAATACTCCATTTCCCTGAACAAAAATCATATATTCTAATCTACCCGAATAGCTCTCTTGAAAACCCTCCATAAATGTAAACATTATCTCTTATAATTTAAATTGAGACACCCTCTCTTGATTCTGGTATCTAAGCGTAATGTGGCAAAATAGACCATAAAGCCTAGCAAATTTCTTACTTTTCAAGTTTATCTTTGCATGATCTTAATTCATCCATTAGCATTAACTCAACATCACTGAAATTCTTTTTATCAGGTGATACTTAGTTGATATTTAGTTTGCTTTTCTTTTAGTCATTCAATTTGGATAAGTCAAGTTTATTAATAAGTGTGTTGACAGAACCAGAAAATAGAGGATTAGCCTACTTCATGAGGATGCTATAAGCAAGTTTCAATTAATCAATATTTAAGCCTCGAAGCTATTATAATTCAAAACTAAAGTAGTCTTCTGCATTGTCGTCAATCTCTTTGCAGTACAAAATTGATTACTACTTTCTTTTTATGATCTGAGAAATCTCATTCGGATTTTAATCTAAGTTTGTAGACTAAAGATTCATCATGAATTGTTTCTATGGAAATGCAAGAGTACCTCTTCGCTTATGTTGCTTGATAGACGGCGAATCCTTTATTAAATCTTCGGAAATCTGATTTTCTATATATACAGGCTCTTAGCTAACTCTTTTATTTTGGAAGTATTTGTTAACATTAAAGAATTTTGAACTCTAATTGTTGAGACCGTATACCATATTTTAGTTGTCAATGCTAGAGCCATTAAATGTCTGTCTTGCCTTGCTATTAAGATAGCTACTATGAATGGAATTTCTAGATTAGTTTAGGATATTTACATTGGGAGATGTTTCATATTTATTAAGAGAGATGTTGTCATTCTAAGTATCAATCTAAAAATGGTAGAGATCATAATAGCTCTCATTTATTGTCCTATCATCAAAACCTTTTTAATAAAGAGTCTTCCTCAGGTTTATCAATGCTTTTTCTTATATTTTCTAGTTAGAATCGTTAATTGACGAAGAATTCTTATTAAAAACTAAAGAGTCCTAATACTATGACTTGCTCATATAATCTTAATTGTTACTGAGCAATGAATTCACTTTGCTAATCCCATTAGGCGATGCTTTTTCCTCGCCCTAGTAGAAAGAGTGATTGGGTTTATGAAAATTAAGTGCAGTCTTGTTTCTTTAATTAGGCTTAATGAAACTTCTTTCATTTCTTGATTTTGATTGTAGCATATTATGTTGCTGCTTCTATTGGTTTGAGCTCGTAGAATAGGTTTGGTCTTAATATTGAATTGCAGGAAAGCTCCCCTGAGATGATGTGTTAGCTTTAAGTCTCTCTCTACTTTTCTATTGAAACTAACTGTCTTCTTGAAATTGCTAGACTAATTTTTCATAACGTTTAGGGTCTATGGCTTTTGAGCATTTAATTGAAATTAACAGTTGATTCTAAACTCTTTTCTAATAGTTGTTTATTAATTTTTAGCCTGTAACAGATAAGTTGCCTTTTGTATTATCAGTTTCGAATGATTAGTTAAGAAAACCTGCCATTACATTCTCAGTCATATAAATATTGCTTATGTTATTGGTGTTATTGTTTCTTATTTGACTTGCAGTTTTCAATCTTAGTCGCTCTGCTGATCTTCCCATATCCATATAAAAACTATTTAATTTAATTTACAAATACCAAATATTCAAATCTTGCTTTTGGGGTTTTGGGGTTTTGGGG